CACAAAAGAGCTGGCTCATGTGGCCGCTGCAGCGAGGAGCCCCTTGTCAAAAGATCAGTCTCATGACAATCTGTGCACCTGTTGGAGAAGCCGAGCCTGGCGGCCTAGCACTCCAGAGAAGAACTCGTGGGTGCAATCGTTCCCTTAGAGGCCTGTAGCTGGGGAGGAGAAAGCCTCCAATCCCCCAGAAGTCAGCTGGTGATCAGGGAGAACCCAGGAGTGCTGTGGAAGGCTCTGCTGATTCAGAGTCTCACCTGAATGGCCTTCACCAGTTTCCGGCTGGATTGCTGTTCACGACAGGAGCCGAGAGGACAAACCAGAGCCTTGGTGCCTTCCACATTGCTCTGCCAGATGGGCAGCCGCTCAGGGCCTTCAGCAGAACAGGGACTGCTCACCCTTCATGCTGGCAGGAAGGCTCAACCAGCCAAGCTGGGAGCCTCCACAATGCTGCTGTTGCACGCAGCTCTCAGCAGAATGGGGAAGAATCTCCTCTTGCTGGTAAAAGCTGGCTCAACCAGAGCAGGGAGCAAGCTAGATGAGAGAAATTAGAAGAAAAAACAGTCAAATATGGGCAGCTCAAAAAAGCACGTCCGAGTCTGAAAGCTGGGAGGCAGGAGGAAGAGGAGGAGCTTCTTAATTAGCATCCGTCCAAGTGGATCAGATGGAGTTAACCCATACCTGACTGCTGGCCCCGCCTTTCTGGAGAATGTAGCAGATATGAATTACCTCACAACTGAACCCCCATTTTAGAATTCTGATTATGCAGGTTTTGTGTAAATAATACATGAATTTTTACGTAAATAATGTTGGGGTTTTTGAGGAGTATATGAATTCAGGGTTAATCTCACAGCAAAATTCACACAATGTCACCTCTGGAGGCCATCTTTTCTTTGGAGCTTCAGGACTGCCACACTTAGTGCCTGGGAAAATAGGAGGGTATTTGCAAGGAGTGGTGAAGATATATAGCCATAACAATATTCTTTTCTCTGGAAGTCAAGGACGTCCAGCCTGCACCTGGATGGGAGTGACTAGAAGCTGTCTCCAGTTCGGATAGTGGATTGATTGGATCACGGGATGGATGTGTGGGTGCAGGGGATGGGTCTTTGACTTTCTTTTGGTGGGGAAAACCCAGGAACATTCAGATTTGGTTTTTCCCAGATGTGCCAATATGACATCTCTAATAAAATGGAACTTTGAGGAATCACTAGCCTCAGAGTCTTCTTTAGTTGGGGGCAGGGGTGAAATGCTCCCGGTTTGGACCGGATCGCCTGATCCGGTAGCGATGGAGGTGGGTGGTTCGGAGAACCGGTAGCAAAAATCCCTGGCCCCCCCACCATGCCCAGCTGAACCGCACAGTCATCACTTTTTTTCACTTTTAAAAGCATTTTTTCTACAACCTCTTTGGCCGAAAAAAAGTTTTTAAAAGTAAAAAAAAAAAAGCCTCTGATGATCGCACGGCTCAGCTGGGATCGTCAGTGGCATTTAAAAGAAAAAAAACCTCTGCTGATCAGGCAACTCAGCTGAGATCGTCAGAGGCATTTAAAAGAAAAAAACCCTTTTTTTCTTTTAAATGCCTCTGACGATCCAAGCTGAGTTGCCTGATCGGCAGAGGCATTTAAAAAAAAAAGCCTCTGCCGATCAGGCAACTCAGCTGGGATCGTCGGAGCCTTTTGAAAGCATTTTTTACAACCTCTTCACCGAAGAGGTTGTAGAAAAAATGGTTTTAAAAGTAAAAAAAAAAAAAAAAAAATTGGCCATGCCCACCCAGTCACATTACTCCCCCACCAAGCCATGCCCACAGAACCGGTAGTAACAAATTTTAGATTTCACCACTGGTTGGAGGTGTTACTTGAAACCCTGACACATAACAGTACATGAGAAAGATACAAACAAGAAACCAGGGATTATGAATGTAATATTTAATTTCATGAGATCATGGGATGATAGTATTGAAATTTCCTGGTATTTGTTGTTCTTTGAAATGAGGCATTAGAAAAATTGCTGATCCTAGTATAGGTAATGAATAAACTGTTGTTTAATTCTTAATCACACAATACAGAATAGATGTGGTAAACAATACAGATCGTTCTCATTAAACAACACAAATTGATAACAGAATTTATGTCATTAGTGACAATCATAAGTTAAAAAAAACATCTGATTGTGACATTTATCAATGGCATTTCTGGAAGTTTTAGTTGCTATTGTTAAGCAAGGACCATACAGTTATTAAGCAAGGATCTCTCACAACTATGACTTGCAACTTCCTGGTGGCTTCCCTGAAAGCTGACTTTGCTTGATGGAAGCAAGTAGGGAAGAATGCTGTGACAGCTGTTAAGGTGTCCAGTTGTAACTAGCAGTCATTAAATGCTATGATAAGTTTGAATGTTCATTTAGTCAATGGTCATTAAATGAGTATTGCCTGTATATAGATGTAGGAATATAGATATGTTCAAATGTTTTGATCTATAGTTTCAACCTACCCAAGCTACTATCTGCATTGAGAAGAGATGCAATAGTTCTACTCTTAATATGTGGAGAATGTCAGGTTATCTATCCCTACTTAATAGGTGAGAAAAAGCAAGGTTTTTTTGTATTCCCTAACCGGAGAATCAAATCCTTTCATTATGAAAATATACACACTATTTTTTATAGTTTTCAGTCATAAAAAAATAAGATTTCCATAAGATAGTGAGAAATTGAAGCGTATACATTGATTAGGATTGAAATTGCATAGCTAAGAATTGATAGTTGTGAAAATTAAATTAAATTAATTAAAGATAGATAAGCTAACTAGTAAGAACTAATTAGGAAAAACATAAATAAAAGAGAAGAAGCTGAAACTAGCAATTGGAGGCAGTCATTATGAGCTAGCTATGTTGAATAGTTGATTTCAGAAATATAAATGATCTATAAGTCATACTGGTCTACACTTTTAAGTGTGTTTAAGTAATTTTATTGTGAAAAGCTGATTAACAAAAGAAAAACCAAAGTGGTGTATTATTAATTTATTCATGTAATGTATTACATGAATTTATGCCCAAATTCTGGATTAATAGAACCAAAATTACTAATAAAATTACTAGGATACATAATCTCAAATGTTAATGACATACTTCATGAAGTACATATATGCACACACATACATACAAACAAACAGGAAGACACCTTAATTTAAATTCTCATTTCTCATCCACATAAGAATCAACCAGCAATTATTTTGAATATATTATTTTGCCAACTGTGATTAGACATATGAAGAATTTGTCTCCAGTGCAGAAATATTCGGTTTCAAGCTGCAAAGCAACAGAATAATGAAGAATAATGATGATGATGATAATCATTATCATTATCGGTATTTGTGACACATTTTTAAATGTCCAGTTGACCAAGTTTCATGTTTAATGAATAAAAGATATTATTATTATTATTATTATTATTATTATTATTATTATTATTATTATCATCATCATCATCATCATTATCATTAATAATAATAATAATAATAATACAATCAATTGCAGATTGTGGCTTTATTTGGAACCGCTTCCATTCTGCGATGGTATCTATAACACCATCAAACATCCAAATCTGCCTATCCAGGTCCTTGGTAAGGACTCGATAGGTAGACAAAAATGCCAAACCTAATCTGAACATCTGGCTGACTGTGTGATGATCAATAGTAATACCAATAAGAGCGGGGAGTAAAGAAGATGATAATGTTAAATAATGATACTACTACAGACATATCACATGAGTAAATAAATACACATAGACATTAGACAGCACTGTGCTAATTAGGTGTTCAGCAAAGTGATGGTATGAGGGGAAAAAACTGTCCCTGTGTCTAGCTGTTTTGGCATGCAATGCCCTGTAGCACCATCCTGAGGAGAGGAGTTGAAACAGTTTATGTCCAGGATGTGAGGGCTCTGCAAGTATCTTCTCAGCTCTCAGCCATCAGAAGCCCTCCTTCTGACATGCACAACATACAGGTCTTCTATGAAAGGTAGGCTGGTTGCAATTTTTCTTTCTGCAGTCTTAACCATCCGTTGGACTGTATACCAGTCCTTTTCTGTTGCTGTACCAAACCAGACAATTATATAGGTACAAATGGCAGACTCAATGTAAAAGCAGCTCCTGGGGCAGTCTGAAGTTCCTGAATTGACATAGGAAGAATATTCTTTGTTGTGCCTTTTTAATGATGATTCTAATGTTGTATCCATTTCAAATCCTGGGAGATTACAGAATCCAAAAACTTGAAGGACTCTACTACTCTGTGCTGTTGAATATAATAAGAGGTGTAAAATAGAAGAGCTCCTTCAGTTCCAGATTGTTACAACTGCACTACAGAGCCAGTTGTTCAACCTTGTGTCTATGTGTAAGTCTATGGACTTACTAATTTATTTTTTTCTCCATCTATATGGTGCATATATTTTCCTATTTCAATCAACTTAAAGCAGTCACCTCCCTCAACCAGGAACCTTATATGCCGTCAAAATTTGAAATATATCCACAGTTCCAAAAGCTGTCTACTTCTTTGTTAAGGGTAATGTAGTCTCAAATACTGTATTCACTTATGAAATTTAATCTGAACTAAGAGCAAATGTTTCTCTTGATTATGAGCCTCTTGATCATACTGGGGGAATAGGTAAGAGAAAACAGATGGCCAATCTAAAGATAGCAACATTTGTATTTATGATATTGATGAAAAATAGCTTTGTGACCAATCCTTACATAGGCACTCACATACGTCTCTTTTTGCATTTTTAGTTTAATCATAATTTTACTGACTTTTCAATTTGTAATCAATTTCTGTATATGTATGTGTAATGTATAAGCTACATTTATAAGCTTTTAAGAAAATAGAATGCTTAATTTAGAAGCTACTGCAGAAATAATTTTTCTGTACATTTGCAGCTGTATTATACTATGTTCCTGGAAAGTTAATGGAGGAGGTTTTGGTCTCTTTTTTTTATTGTAGCAGAATAAAATGGACTTACAGAACTATCTTTCACCAGAAGTGCACAACACTGGATTCCTGCCATAAGCATCTTATGAGGATTCCATGCAACAGAAGTGGCCCTATAAAAGTGAGAAATGGAAGAAAAAAAATTTAATGAGAAAATTAAAAATTTAAATAATTAAAAAAATAAAATTCATATTCCATTTCATACTGCTTCATTTTAAAGTATATGCATAAATATACACATAGATAATTTAAACAGAAATCTCTCCTCATTCTTGAAGTGCATGCCATCCATCCCTGAGTTGTGAGAAAAAAACATACAAACTGAAATTTGCTATTCCCATTACTAATTCTTCTCCTCACTCTTTTCCTCTCTTTCCTGTCGCTGCTAAATCACCAACCTTTCTTCCAATATAATGGATAACAAAGCCTAATAGCTTTGTCCTGAGACTGTCATTGGAATTGCAATAAGGGAAGAAATACAATTTTAATCCCAATACAAAGAGGATTTAGGCCTATCTGATTCATGAGCAGGATATGAGATAGAGGCCAATGCAAGAATTCCACAATGTTAGTCATTTCTGGCGAAAAAAATCTCTCCATGTAATGAAGATATGGCAGGAATGTTTATGTCATTGATATATGTAAGGAAAGGTCCACAGATCAGACAAAACAGGAAGAAGTTGATTTCTAATTCAATAAAGGGATAATCTGTGGGCTAAAAACCTATCCACCAACACAGCACTGAAATTCAATTAGAAAATATTAATATTTGATCATATTTGGGGTTTCTGACAAACATAAGCAGTCAAATAAGTATGTTATTCCTTTTTCTTTTTACAAACTTAAATATCAGCTACTCAATTGCTTCGAACTATGAGACAAGCGGCATATTTAATAAATAAATAATAAATAAAAATAAAATGGGGAGGGTGGAGTCAGAAGTTTAAGCCCCACTCCTTTCAGTAATGTCAGAGGTCACTGATACAGACCCTAAAATTCTCATAGGACAGACTGCAAAGTTGCTTCAACTTAAAATAGCAAAATGTACAAAATTTGATTCAGAAGCTACTAAATTTTCAATTAAATGGATGTACCTGTGGATGCCATGAAGAAGCTTGCGATGCCTCCTTGACAGTAAAGCTGAGCCTCCCCATGATGCCTGTGGAGAAAGATCATTCATTAAAAGTTATAAGGTAGGCTGGGCTGAGAGATATCAACTGATATAAAGTGAGCTTCCATGACTGAACATAGACTTAAACTTTTAAAAAAAATTCCCATCCTCAAATTAACTTCTATAATATAGTGGTTTGAATCTCTTAATTTTGCACTTGCAGCATATTCAAAAGATTAAGCTAGATAAATATTTTATATTCATATTCATTGTTCTTATAAATGGCCATCCTAAATAACAATGGCAATGATAAAATTATTTAACACATGAATGGATGGACAGGCCATTATTTCAAAATGTTCTCCCAGAAGAAAATTCTATGTCTATCTCATCCACAATTCTAAGAAATGTTAGAGAAAAGCTGTTAAGTGTTCCATGACCTATAAATTCTTCAAAAAAAATATAATTATTCATGTGTTTTGGTGTCAGATAAAAGCTGGTGATGATCTTAGACAGCAAGATCACTCACTAAATGTTATGCCAATCAATAATCAATTTTCACCATGACAACAAAGAATGTTTCCAATGCATTCTGGAAATTTTATCCTTTTTTAGATGGCATAATTCAGACATTGAAAAAAGTTCTGTGGTTATTTTATTTAGCCTGATGTTTTTTTTTTAAAACTGAGGAAATAAAATCACCTGAGACAAGACTACAAGTTTCCTATATAAACTTAAATTGAAATGGGTTTGATATCATGTAACATGCATGCAAGTTCCAGTTGCCAGAATTAGAAAAACACTGAGAATATGCAAAGGAAGAGAAAGATGAGTTTAGATAGAAAATAGTTCATGGGACATAATAGAAAGTCTGAAAACTGAATCAAAACAAGTTATAAAGAATTGAAAGAGAATGAAGCAGAACTGATAGTACAACATCTAGCAGTGGGAACACAAGCAGTGGGTGCAGTAAGAATGAATAATAATTTGTATGTATGTGTGGGTGTGGGGAGGGTATATGTAGATAGACAGATAATAGACAGCAGACAGACAGAGAAATAAATATGGTGCTCTTGAATTTGTTTGCTATATTGAGATGTTTCGTTATTAATGAAAACATCTTCAGTGAAACATATTATATCATCAATGCATCATTATCATCATCTAATAGGAACTAGGTGCTGAAAGATAATCTGTAGAATAAACAAGAAGCTAGGAAAGAGAAAGAAAGCATGGAACTAAAAAGAATCTTTACATGACAAATTATGTAAATTAATAGGAAGAGGTTAAGGTTAAAGATAAAAAGAGCTAAACTACAACTACAAGGAGACTGGCAAAATGGTCAAGGTAAAGAAATCTAAGAATTGTAGGGATATAGATCAGGAGGATGGATTAAAAATGCTAATATTTTGGAAGAGGAGAAACTATTTTAAATTTCTGAGTGAATGAAAGTTACATCTTTATGGACAGATTTCTAGGAACAATCATATTTTCTGATTGAAGTCTTAAAATAGAGCAAGTAACATTTTGATCCTACAAAAGTTGCTGAGTGACAGAACCCAATGGCAAAGGATATTAGAGTTGTGATTTAATGACATCTGGAAAGCCAGAGATTTCTCTATCTTAAAGATATAGTCTCACATGATGTCATTCTCCAACATTAGTATCTCTGTCGACTACCAAAGGAAAATAAGTTTTTATCTCTACCTAAATTGCCTGCTGCCTAAAATGCATGGTGAGTTTACAAATACAGATTTCAGTAAAAACTATTCTATAATCCTATAACATCTAGAAAAAATTCTACTGAATTTAGTGTGGATTATACAGAGTCCATTCAAATGGTATTGCTCAGTTAATAAGCTGTGTTGACATTTTGTTTCAAATGGACTAAGGTAATAAATAACATCTTATTGGTGATCTGAATCTGTCTCCAGCCATTACAGATTTAGCACATTTTATATAGCTTTTTCTCTGGAGGCTAGAATGGAAAAGAATAATAAATTACAGTGGAGGTAGCTTACAGCTTGTACCTGTAAGGCATTTTCCACATTTTTGTACGTTTAACTTTGGATAAGTCTTTACAACAGCTATAGAGGAACTGGAGAAAGTTGCTTTCTTATTAACTGATAATAACATACTATTTCTATCACAGCTATATCAATAGCTAGCTTGAAATATAATACTAGGAATTTTTAGTTCCTCTAAATGATTAAATCAAAACAAACAAAGAGACTTTCAAAATAATTATTATCAAGTAACCAAGGGATCATAAATTCTGAATATGAACCTCTTTTTTTCCTGATAATTCACCAACAGGAAAAGCAGAAAATTAGTGAATACCAGATATAATGGCATTTAGCTCATAAAACCTTTATATATTTATCTCGCTTACTTTGATTTCCCAAAATTAACTTAAATGGTATGCAGGGAATTCTATTTTTTTCACTCATTCTCCTGTGTAAGTGGAAATGTACACAAACCAGTTTAGATTCTGGAAACACTAACCAAAACAATTCCACAGAGTCCTCATAAATGAAAAATAGCTGCTACTGAAATCTAAGAGCAATTTCAGATAATCATCTGAAATAACTCAATACCCATTAAACAATAGGATAATGACATTTCTAATAACTGCTACAGTGGGCTAAGATCAGTGATGCAATTAATCAGCCTCATGTTTGGCTTCTAAGAGCATAGTCTGGGGGCTTTAATCATGTTAAAGTAAATGAAGTAAATCATTACTTCGTTTAACAGCAGACATTCTTCTCCTAAGAGGAAGAAACAAATGATATTGGAAATAGTTCCTACCAACACAATAGCTCAGGCAGAAGAGAAACAGGTGACATTGACAAGATACCATTCTGAAGAGGCTCTACATACAAATCCAGATCCCTTTATGAGTTCTTTTTAGTTTTTACAAGATGTCTTGTGGAGGGAAGTAGAAGACCAGTCATTTCTTTTCTTTTTCTTCCTATTTGTGTATGTAGGATAATGAGAGGATCTGTTCTGCTCAAGGACAATCTCTCTCTCCCACTTCACTTGGCAACCTTGGATATTATGTTCCTAGTACCTATAAATAAGCATTGTTTAAAAGAGCATAATAACAATAATGTTTATGATGTTTATTTTACCTTGTATTGTTACCAGAGTTGTTTGATTGATTGGAGCAGTATAAAAACGAGGGAAGTTGTTTTTATAAAAATAAGTAACAAATAAAGAAATGACCGATTTCAATCACCATAACAAACTGCAACCTTGATTATGGCTCTTGGGAAAAATGGACGTTGTGTTACCTGAACGTCCCTTTTATGCTCGATGCGCCGCCAATCCTACGTATGGGTAACCTGCTTGATGATTGGGTGTACTGAGTGCCTATTAAAGTTTCTGCAGCCATGGTACCGCCCCTTATGACGTTAACCCTTCAGTCTTTTTCACGAAGAAGATAACGGGGACGACACCGACCACTGGCAACACAATCCAAAAGGAGCACAGAAAGCACGCTGCAGAAAAAGGAGACAAAAAAGGAAAAACCACACACCACCCACAGCAGCAATGGTCGACAAAACGGGTGGGCCGGATTGGCGGCGCATCGAGCATAAAAGGGACGTTCAGGTAAGACAACGTCCATTTTCCTGACTCGATGCGCCGCCAATCCTACATATGGGACATACCCAAGTTCATTCAAAAACTGGGAGGGGTCGATCCATTGGCTGTGGCTGGGTGGAGATTACAGATTGTAAAACTCGTCTGCCGAAGGCAGCATCCGCAGAAGCAAATTTGTCCAATCGGTAGTGACGAACGAAGGAAGACAATGATGACCAAGTCGCCGCCTTACAGATGTCATCTACAGAGGCTTGGGAGGCCCAAGCCGCCGACGTAGCGGCACTTCTAGTGGAATGGGGGACAATGCCACCAGGCACCACCTTTCCCTGTAAATGGTAAGCTGTCGAGATACTTTCAACCACCGCCCCACCGTATGCAAAGAGACTTTTTGCCCCATAGAAGCTGGTAAAAAGGACACTAACAAAGCCACAGTTCTTCTAAAAGAGGCAGTGCGTTTAATATAATGCCTTAAGACCCTACGGACGTCTAAGGTGTGCCACTGTCTCTCTAATGGATGACAGGGGTCAGGACAAAAATTAGGGAGCGTAATTTCCTGAGTTCTATGAAATTTGGAGTTCACTTTGGGCAGGAAGGCTGGATCTAACCTAAGAACAACCCTATCTGGGAAGAACACACAGAGATCGGAACGAATCGACAAGGCAGCGATCTCTGAAACCCTCCTAGCCGAGGTTATTGCCAGCAAAAAAGCCATCTTTAGGGTCAAATAACGTAATGAGGCTGAGGCCAAAGGTTCGAATGGATCAGACATGAGGGCTTGCAAAACTAAAGTCAAATTCCAAGTCAGGAACCGATGGATCACCGGAGGTGATAAATTGGTAGCTCCTCTCAAGAAGGCCTTAATCTTGGAATTGTGAGAGAGAGGTTGACGATCTTCACCAGGTAAAACAGTGGCCAAGGCTGCCACTTGCCGTCGCAGAGTAGAAGGGGCCAAACCTTTGTCTAAACCCGCTTGAAGGAACTGTAAAATTTCTGAAATCGTTGGTGAAGTAGGATCTACAAGCTTGGTAGAACACCATCTGACAAAAGAGGACCAAGAGGCGTTATAAATTCGAACCGTTGAAGGGTGCCTGGCTGCCTGAATGGTCGAAATAATATTCGATGGTATATTGTCCTTTCTTAGGATGATGCGTTCAAATGCCAGACGGTCAACTTGAACACGTCTGGATCTGGATGCTGAATCACGCCTTGTAGAAGAATCACTTGGTCCCTGGGAATCCGCCAAGGCTGACTCACTGACAGGCCCTTCAGGTCGGCGAACCACGGCCTCCTCGGCCAGTAAGGCGCTACCAGCAGAATCTCGGCCTCTTCTGAGAGGATCTTCCGGATGAGACGTGGTAGGATTGGAACTGGAGGAAAAGCATACATTAGACCTTTGGGCCAAGGGCAGCGGAGAGTGTCGTGTCCTTCCGCGGTGGAAGACGGGA